TGTGTTTACATTATAGCCTGTGTTTGCTGTTATATAAATTCAAATGGTTGTAATACCATATATCAAGTACCAATGTAATACCAAAAGGTTTTATAAGGTGTATAAATACGGAGTCGCGCCAGCTCCGGCCCGCAGCGCACATTACCCTCGCGCCGTTTCCGGCGCGGATGCGCAGCGTCGGCTCGCTTACGGCCGCCGCATCTGGCCCGCTTGATTCGGGCCGGAATCGGGCAGTGAGTCCACAGGCATCCGGCCCGAGTCCGGCAGCCGAAGTTGGGCCGAGGGGTTAGTCTCCGGCAGGCGACAATCTAGCCGGAACTGGCCCGAGTGTATTTTGCTATCTGGGAGGAAGGGGTTTTGCACTCGTGCATGTTGCGCTCAGTTTCACGTTCATTCAGGTGTACAAAGAGAATTTGCGTGTGATTCAGCGTACGCAGTGTTTTATACATCTGAATTTTTTACTGCATATGCACATTTACAGCTTTGTGCGTACGCAATGTTTTAGTAAGATTTCAACGCAAGTCATACATGAGGCCCCTGATGCGCTGCTCAGAGCTGCGACACGGCACACCAGACATGCACATTCGGATGCTATTTAAAATGAAACTATTCAGATGGAGCTCTGTGGCACGGCAGAAAAATGTCCCGAATCGTGGCTGGGCACCGTAGACAACCGGTGACTTGAAACGCTGTTGTGTGTACCAATGTGTGTTTCTATCAGTTACTGATAGAAACTGTTTAGAATTCTAAAACGCATGTCATTGGAGCAGCGCTTCTGATGTACGACCTGCAGGCAAGTTCGTTATTTTTTTTCCAATGGAAGACACACACATGAGTCAACGTGCTCGCACTTTCCAGCTGCACCTAGTTAAGATCACAGGGAGCTTCTGTGACCATGAGAAATGCAAACGGCCGAAGTTTACGGTATACGCAATGAAAAGTACATGTCTACAAACTCACCTACAAACAAGCTAAGTTACAAACAATAAACCACCTCGTCTGCCTTTATGTTAGGCCTATTTAAAAGCCCATGCATGCAGCGACTGAGTGGCGATAATAAATAATTAATGATATGACAGCCCGTCGCTCCCAAAAACATTAGAAGTTGATTAAAAGTATGGTAATAATAGTGTGGGATAAGCTTACCAATTCCTTATTATCCAATTTGTCATGGCAGTTTTCATTTTAAGGCATTGTTTTTTCTCTTCTTGTTTTCTATTTTGCGCTCCACGCCTCTTTACTCTTCTCTCCATTTTGAACATGTGACTGTAACCGAGCAACAGATCAATTAATTGGTCAACGAAGAGGGAGGGGTGGTATATTTTTTATTCAATAAAATAAAATTTGAATAATTGTATAATTCAAATTAAATAATTCATATTGGTAGAAGTACACAATGTTGTCACAACATTGTGATTAATAACTGGCAATGTCACAGTTTTATTGTTGCAACGTTTCAGTTGTCACAATGTAATTAGTTACATTGTCACAATAAAACTGTTGCACTTACATTACTACCACGTATTTACTCCACCAGCATCACGTTGTGACCTGTTCACCTTTTTTTGCAGAAAAAATGGCTCAAAATCCTGTGCAAGACTTGTATCTGTCATTTTCCAGATAAATTGATGCTGTATTGACCACAAAAGAATGACCTACATCATGAATTACTGTGGTCTAAAACCAGGCGTTTCAGTTTCATTGTCCAACCCCTGTAAATAAAAAAAAAACTGATAAAAAAAAAAAATAATAAATGTCTGTGTGTGTGTGTGTGTGTGTGTGTGTGTATATGTATATATATATATATATATATATATATATATATATATATATATATATATATATATATATATATATATATATATATATATATATATATATATATATATATATATATGAAGTCTCCACTTCACTTCCTAATCTGCAATTGCCTCTCTGGATATCACACTAACTGTACCCCAAAAAAAAAAAAATACTAATACTTTCCTTCTTAGACTTTACAGACCTGAAACTTGCCTATAGCACTTATTCATTGTTGCTCTTATAGTTGTGTAAGTTGCTTCCTTGTCCTCATTTGTAAGTCGCTTTGGATAAAAGCGTCTGCTAAATGACTAAATGTAAATGTAATATATACACCATAGTGTTTGTGTGTGTGTATGTTATCAGTCGCATTGAAAAATATACAATCAAAAGTTATTATGAGAATAAAACCCACAAATAACCTGAAGGGAACATCATGGGAAGGTTCTCTTTAGTTTATGAAAATAAGACCCACAAATAATCTCCAGAAAATGTAATATAATAATAAATAATAAGGGAACGTTCTGGGAAGATTTTGGTTAGGTTTTGGTTGCCAAAAAAAACTACAGATAACGTTCCCCGAAAAATAACCAAACGGGATGTTCCATATGGGAAAGTAAGAATGTTATCTGCTACACTACAGCAAAGAGCATCTAAGCTCTTTGGGTACAGCCTATTGCCAGGTGGCGATATATAGACAAAATGCATTGTGGAAAAAGCGAAGAAGAAGATCACGTGACGTCATTTCAGTTTCTCGATCCAGTAGTCTGTTGTTAGGCATTTTCGCCTGGTTATTGCGCTTTGTTCGCGGTCTATTTTAACGAGGGCTGATTTTATTGTGACCGCGTCTTAGTATAATGTTTTAGCTCTTTCTGCTTTACCGTTGTCGGGTCACTGTTGGATGCAAATTCGGAAGATGGCGGCGGTGCAAAGCAGCAGTCCGGTCGCAGACTCGTCCCAGGGAGGCACAGCCGCGGGCTCCGAGCGTCCCCGAGCCGAGGATGGATCTGGTAACGTTACAAGCACATACTTCCTGTTTACTTAAAGTTTATTTGTGTCAGCTAGAATCTACAAAATGCTTTAATTATTTTTTAGAAATGACCCATAGATTTCCCTTTTACGGATTGTGCACGATTTCCGAGTCGTCCGTCAGATATCTCGAGTGTTTTTGGGATGTTTTGGCGAAGGTTAGCATCAATGTTGAAAAGTAAATATTTATTGTAACGTTACATTAATTAAATTTCTCATAATCAGAAAAAATAAAGGGATTGCTGTTCATTTTTGGTTATTTAGTTAGAATGAATAAAGGGTGGTTGGGACTTTTTTAAATTTCTACCATGCTTTTTTGCCATGACTTAAAAATATCAGCCCAATACATGATACATTTATGTAATACTTACTTACTTGCCTGTCCGTTTATGGAGGAAAGGAAACATAGTTATTTGTTAAGAATAGGAGGAGTGCTATAGTCTTTATTATAAACTAAGCCAAAACCGAAAGTTTTGGTGATTAAGACAAAAATCTATTTATTAAGGCTGGTGTCTGTTAATGCGTGTTAAGCATGATGCAGTTTATTAAATATTAGCCTACATATGAATTTTATTTATTTATTATAAAACAGAAAATGTGTTATTTCTTAATGCAAAAATGCATGCAAACATTAGTCTGTTATTAGACAATGTTGTCAATAATGAAATGTCATCGTTAATGGCATTTGGTGATCATCAGATATTATTGCTTGTCATTAGGTACCAATTGACGGATGTCCGTAATTGGGAAGAGCTCTGAAAGCTTTACTTGAGGTCAGGAAGCGCATGAAATGCCAAATTTAGGTAGGCTACAGAATTCTGACCTCAACCGGGACATTGGGAAGCTGCAAGCAGGCCTGAGGCAGACACAGGAGTTGTAGAGCCAGTGAGAACATATCAAAGTGTAATTTTCAGAGCTTGGAACATGTTCAGAAGGATTGGTGGAGTGAGTAGAATGCATGGTGGAGGCAGACAATGGGTAACAACACCAAATTATAACCAATACCTTTCCCTGCGAGGGAATCAGTCTGCAATCAGTCTGCAAAATGACCTACAGCAGGGGTCTGTAACATTTTTTCAGCAAGGAGCCATTGTTTGTTTTTTATTTATCAAATACATTTTTTAAAGAGCAATTGGGGGTGTGTGTATATAACAACATCTTTACTTATTTAAGGACAATTTATAGAATGAAAAAAAAATCAGTATGCCATTGCCACTTGTGAATGAATTGGTGTTGCGATTCAAGTTAAGCCACAGCACCACACATGCTCATTAGAAACATCCTTTTATTGTAACCTGAGTTCTTATTTTGCTTTAAAAAATACAGTATAAAGGGAATTATAATTGTATTTTCAATATGAAACTGGTTTCTAATAACAGTTATGATTTTTAAACTTTAAAATATTATTGAAAGAAGACAGCTGGAGAAAGCTACATATTTTTGGTCAAAAAGCCACATGTGGCTCCTGACCCATAGGTTCCCTACCCCTGACCTACAGGATGCAACAGGAGTGTTAGTATCCAACCAGACAAGCCCAAGGTATAGGAATGAAATTCTGAGGCCAGTTGTCAAACTTTATTCTGGTGCAATGTGGCCGGATTTTGTTTTTATGGATGACAATGCCCTCCACGTTGAGCAGTGTTAGTGATGGAATACTTGGAGGAGCCATCCTTTAACAGATTATTCAAAACATATGAGAGGTGGTAACACTGATTACTGACTAGTTGTTCAGTTCTTGTACATGACTTGTTTGTCATATTTGCAAACATGCAATTTATGTTTGTTTGACAGTATGAAGTCAAATTTTGTTCTGCTGTAACAAGTATTTACATCTCAAATACATAAATTGAAAAGTTTTCTTTTCTGTTTTGGAGCTTTGCTAGTTTAAGCTCTGACGTTTCATGCAAAGCTACTACGGTACGGGATCCAGGAGGGATGCAACGGTTCTCTTTAAAAAATCGTACCGTCCTGTTGTCCTCCCATGGTTCAGTGCGCCCTGTGATCTGCAGTTCAGAATATGCATTTTTAATATTAGTTTAGTGTTTAAAAACAACTGCAACAAAACAAAAAAAAATCTGCCTTTACCTATGACATGCGCTGGACATGGGAGGACATGTCTCAATCACCTCTTAAAAATCTGTAAGTCTGTTGTTGACATTACGTCTTCTGACGTGTCTGTGTGTTTGAGTTTCTGAGAGTTCAGCAAAAGTGCAGGTGAGACCAAAACACAGCACATTGCTGTCAGTGTTTCAATAGACACTCAATGTAAATTCAGACAGATAATAATAACAAATGCTTAATCTTTTTGTTTATTTTTTGTTGATCACTAAAGGGCTTATCGAGGTCTGTCTCCAGACCCAGAAGTGTCCCGTACAGACCCAGACATACAGCAGGCCTGTTACTTCAGCTGAGTGTTTAGCATCCGATCGCTCCTGCTATTTATTAATTTGTTTACCCGCTGTCTGCTAAGAAAAGTTTACTTTTCAATTAACTGTTTTCTGCTAAAAAAATATTTATTTAATTAGTAAAAAAATTGTATTTTATTTTTAGGATTTGAGGTAAGCTACTACTACTACGCTACTACTATGCTACTACTTTCATTATTGCAATAAATGTCATGTAAACTGTACATCTCCAAATTGTACATCTTGAGTAACAGAATGGATTCTTGTAGAAAAAAAAAATATAATAAGGCATTAAAGTGTTTTAAGTAAATGAAAATGGCATTCCCGTGGAGTCATCGTAGGAGAGTCCAGTCTAAAAGGTGTTTGGATTTTGGAGTGCACAAAGTTCAACTGCTGGGTGTCAATCTTACATATATATGTAATTATAATTGTTTATTTACCATTCCCTAATTTTAATCAAAGTTATAGACTTTTGATTAGGACACTAAAGAATTATATCTTTGTGTAAAAGGGCATACGATTTTCATCTTTAATAGAAACACAAATGGTTTATTTTTTATAGTATCATTTAAGGTTACATTCCAAAAAATTGTTTCCTTTTGTGTTTTGTCATTTATTTTGTTTGTGCTTTTTCACAGAGTCTGAGAAACAGAGTCGTATAATGACACTGCTAGAAAGGCTCTATTGCAAACACAGCTCATCCAGGTCCTGGCAGGAGACCAGCAAAGTGATACGGCAGGCAATGGTAAGATCTATTTATAGAGAAGTTTCATTAATAGCATAGTTATTTGTTGTTGCATTTTCTTACCATTTAAAAAAATCTATTTCTGTTTTTCTGGCTGTTTAGGAAAAGCGTGGAGCTGTTAATACAGGTGGACACCAGCTATTGCTCAACTGTTTAGAGACACTGCAAAGGGCATTAAAAGGTGCATTTCTTTATTTTTGTGCATGTGTATGTGTGTTTATGTATGTATGTGTATATATATTTGGTGTGTGTGTGTATACATTTGGTGTGGTGTGTATTACGTCACTAACACTCACGGCTGTTTGTTGTGTTTTGGATAAATTCAGCATCATACAGGGTAACAGAGGGAAAATTTCGAAAGGCGTCAGCCAACATAAATCGAGTTTGAGTACATTGGTTTTCACAGAACAAATGGAAGGATTCACAAGTACATTGCAATTAGGAAATGATACAACAAACTTTAGCAACATCCTTAAAGTTAAGCTCATCCTTCACTGTTGTTGTCATCATTGCTCATATTTTTTCTTTACACCAGACCTCTTTATTTGCTACGTATTACATTGTGTCCTTATTTTACACAACATGACATGCGGCACAAAAAAGGTATATTTTGCATTTTTAAAGGTTTTTTGTCCTAACAACCTTCTGTGACGACAACACAAAAGTTTCTATTTTAGAGCAATTTACGTCTAGTAATAAGGTAAATTGGTTAAATAATGATGTGATTTGAAACAGGTGATATCAACTAGTGATTGTAATTATGATCTGGTACAAAACTAGCATCCAAGAAAGGTCTAGTATTTTAGTAACAAAGATGGGCCGCGGATCAGTTTGCCAACAAATGCATGAGGAATTATTAAAATGTTTCAAAACAATGTTTCTGAAAGAAAGATATAAAGACGTTTGGAAATGTCAACTTCAACAGTGCATAATATAATTAAAAGGTTCAAGGAATCTGGAGAAATTTCCTTTTTCAAGGAAAAAGATGTAAATCTACAGCAGAACTACTGTGATCTCAATCCCTCAGGCGGCACTGAATCAAGAATCGTCATTCATCTATAAGCGATATCACCACATGGGCTAACTACGGCTAACACTAGGGTTGGGTACCGAAACCTGGTGCCATTATAGCACTGGTACGTTTGTAAACAGTATGTACCGGATCAAATCAGCATATGAATTTCAGTGCCTAATTTCAGTGCCACTGGCGCTGTGACAAGGATGTAAAAAGCATCAAAAAGGTGCATCAAATTGTGTCACACCATCTCTAAACATTTCATTCTAAACAACTTTGAGGAATATGGACAAGCGATGTCAGGTGTTTGTTATTGTCGCTAGAGAACGGACGCACACAACGCGCGCAGTACAGCGCCTTCAGCCTGGTTTTCGGTGATGGAGAGCGACACTTTTCAGATCAACACGCATGATCGCGTTCATCAAATGTGTTTAAACTAAGCATTCAAAAGCGTATTTTACAAGCAAGGATTCTGACAGAGCAACAGGCTTTACAAAAGTTGCATGTAAGGGGGAAACATGTCAAACTTAATGACACATTTGAGGGGTCAAAAAGGCTAAGGAATACCTCTCTTGCGTGCTCTAGGTGTCACGTGATATCGCTCTCTCGGGCACGCGCTCCCTCTGCTTTCGCGCCACTTGCTCTCTCTGTGACGGTGCTGCTTGCATCAGTTCACCGAATTCGTCAGAAGTTGACGCCTAAATTGACACAGGTAATAAAAAGAATAAACTTCAGTCATGTTCATGTTGTGAAACACTATCAACATGTCCACTGTCGATGATATTACACTTCTGTTTTTAATAGCAATTTTAACACACTTTTAATATGGGAAGTCCTCGGCTAAGAAGAGACCATTATTATTCAGAAATCTAGTGTACATAGTTTTACGTTGGGAAATGCAGTATTGAATTTACAAACAGTCGGCAAGTACCAAAGAAATGTAGTTTTCAGTCACCCTCATGTAAGTCATATTCAGCTCGTTCAGTTTTGCCTTCATTAATTTTTGATTTCCGTCTTCAACACGATTTATTTACAACACAGTTTTAAACATAATAGTTTAACTAACTCATTTCTAATATCTACTTTATCTTCCCCATGCTGACAGTCAGTGCATAACATTTTATTAGTTATTTTGCAAGACAGTTATATTCAGATAAAGTCCCTGTAAGTATTTTATAGTCTTTTATTCAGATTAATGTGTCATTTAAAGACTTAATCAGTTAACTACGAAAGTTGAAATAATTAGTCAACTTATTTTGTAACTGATTTTTTGTGTATATCAAAAATATACAGTAAATATTTTTTAAGGAGGCTAATAATACTGACCTTGTTTTTATTTAAATTAAAAACTGCTTTTATTCACGAAATAAACAATAAGAAATAGGACTTATTATGACTTCAGAATAATTTTTTTTTTTTTTTAGAAAACACTGAATTTCGAAAACATTATTTTAAATGAATAGGAGCGCAAAATAAATTGACTTCAACTGTATGCCTATCTGTTAAAGTTTACAGGTGCAACAATGTGCCTTGATGTACTTGAATGTTATAAATGTGTTATCCTACACCAGTACAACGTTACTTGTCAAATAAATGAACAAGGAAGATTATTTTGAGTTTAAGTTATTTAATTATCTTATTATGAAGACTGCAGAGTGATGCATGGAAAAAATGACTTTGAATAGTTTTTAAAGTATTTTGTGGTATATATGTTAAAATGTGCTCCCAAAAGTACGTGGCCCCTTTTATTTTGTCAAATAAAAGACTTTTCTAGAGTCATCCACCATAATTTTGTGGCTAAAAAGTATCGGTTCAGGCACTGTTTTGGCACCGGTATTGTTTTAAAAGTATCGATTTAGCACCGGTATTGAAAAAAAAGATACCCAACCCTACTGAACACTTTCATACGGCCTGCGAGGGAGTTTTTTTAAAAAGCCGCTTCTGAGTAACGGTTTGGTTTCAGGATTAGTAAATTTAATGATGCAATTACAAGTGAACGCCATGTGATGGCAGTAATGCACGCGTTACAGTTAGTGCAACCAGTAGAATAAGAACACACTCTCAGATATTAAAATGCACTCGACCGTTAATGATTGAAAATGAGTCGGGCAAAAAAAGAAAAATTAGCTTTGAATGTCATGTGCTTAAGAATGGACAAAAAAATACTTCTTCACCAATATCGGACAGAAAACTGTATGTCTAATATGCCAAGAAAGTATTTCTGTTTTTATGCGTTAAGAGATATGAGCATATTTATAAAAGCAGATGAGATTGTTGTGAATTTGACTGAAATTATATATTAATTGCTGGTTTAATGTTTTAATTTTTGTCATAGAATATATTTTCATGCATTCATCCACTTTAAAAAGTTATTTTATCAAAGATTTGTGGTTTTATCAACTTTTAGGATAATTGATCTGTATATTCTAAAAGCAGTGCAAGTTAGATTATTGTAAATTAGACTGAATAGTAATTTCTAAGGATTGTTTTTAATGTGTTAATATGAAATATTTTCTTTCAGACAATATCTTTTCTATTCTACACTGAAAAAATTATTACATTGTTATTACTATTATTATTATTATTATTATTATTATATTTTATTAGGGATTATTTTATTGTTTTATAATAATTGATAAGTAAATATAAATAGCAGTGCATATTAATTTGATTTGTAAATTTGACTTGATAAAAAAAAAAATTGTTTTCTGTTAATTTGACATGTTTCTGTTCATATTCCACGCATACTGTCACTATAAATAAAAGTTATTTTTTGAAGAATTTAACATGTGGCCCTTCACTTGGTTTGCAAAACTTGATGTGGCCCTCTGGTCTAAAAAGTTCGCCCACCACTGGGCTAAGGACTACTTTGGCAAATCTTTGTCAAGTACCACAATGCATAGTTACATCTACAAATGCCAGTTAAAACTGTACTATGCCCAAAACGAAGCACTATGTATGTCCAAAAGCACCATTGATTTCTGTGGGCACAGAGACATCTAGGATGGCCATCACACAGTGGCAAAAGTACTGTGGTCAGATGAATCAGAGAAATGGATTGTGTTCTCTGGAATAAAGAAAAAGATCATCCCGACGGTTAACAGCAACAAGTAAACGTCAGGGTCTGTCATGGAATGGGGTTATGTCAGTGCCCTTGGTAACTTGCAATTTTGTTACCATACCATTAATGTTTAAAAGTACAAATAGATTTTGGAGCACAATATGCTGCCTTCTTTTCCAGAGACGCCCCTGTACATTTCAACAAGACAAAGAAAAACCACATTCCGCACACATTACAAAGTCCTAGCTGCAGAGGAAGAGGAGACAAGTACTTGACTAGCCTGCCTGGAGTCCCAACCTGTCTCTAATAGAGAATTTGGGGTGCATTTTGAAGTGAAAAATGCGGCAACAAAGACCCTGTGCTGTTGCCCACCTTATGAATTTTTTGCAGGAAAAATAGGACAAAATTACATCTGAAACACTTCATAACATGGTGTCTTCAGTCCCTAATTGTCTTTTAAGTGTTGTGAAAAGGAATAGCAAATGCTTTTTTGTTTTAAATTTGTTGCAAAAACCAAAATTGCAATGTGTTTATTTAAAAAAAAATAATAATGAAAAATCACAAGGAACACATTAAATAGTGTATTTTTGTATTATTTGCTTTCAAATACAAGTCAAAGTAAACTTTAGAAATCACTACTTTCTTTTTTATTTTGTGTTTTCGATAGTTCATTTCCCAAATTTTTCTGATTTGGGGTTGTGTATATATGTTAGTACATATGTATGTGTGAGTGTGTAAATATGTTAACAAGAACAGACCTTTTCTGTATTTTTTTTTTTTACATAATTGCATTATTTTTTATCTTAAATATATCATAAATATGTATTTTAATTATCACTTGAATGCCTCAATTTCTTGTTTTTTTCTGTTTTGTATATCCCACATCATCAGTTTCTACACTGCCATCAATGACAGATCGCCTGGAGTCCATTGCTCGACAAAACATGTGAGATTATGCTCTTTTTTATGCATCTATTTGATGTGTAATGTAAAATTAACTGAATGAAAGTTTTATTTGTGTATTTTTATTATGCTGTCTTTTTAATGTCTTTTTAATCCACACATCTTTTCACATTTATTTATTTTTTTTCTATGTCATTTTAAAATGTGTTTTTAATATGTTTTCTTTTAACTTTAGAGTGATAAAATTATGTAACTCCTTTAATCATGGTATTTAGAAGACTCCCTTACTGAAATGTCACATGGGTTTCACATGTGATATTCATATGTGGACTTGTGACCAAATGTGCATGTCAATAATGTGCAAATCACATGTGAAACACAAAACCACAAGTGAAATGCACATGGGAAAATGTCCATTACTACGTAAACCACGTGATCACTTGTGAAATATGTGCATTCCCTTCACATGCATTGCTATGTGAAACTTGATCATGTGAAATGTCATTCTAATATGATTACATGTGAAACGTGGTCACGTGTAAAATGTGCACTCTCATATGAAACACTTGAAATATGGGCTTCTCATGTACTGCACACCATAAAATAGGTACATTTTAGTTTGAACAAAAATTGTTCTCAAATTAAATTGCAAATAAATATAAGACGGTGTTTTTTAAATTTATTTTATTATTATTATTTTTTTTTATTAAATTAATAAACCACAAATTTGCCCGTATGTAAGCTAGCCATCATGGCAATACTTCATGCTGTGTTGGAGGAAGTCTGTGGCACACTAAATGGAAACTGCTTAACAGAATAAAGCCAACGCAGGCACAGTAGGTAGTGCTGTCGCCTCACAGCAAGAAGGTCGTTTGTTCAATCCTCGGCTCAGTTGGCATTTCTGTATGGAGTTTGCATGTTCTCCTTGCATTCGCCCGGGTTTCCTCCGGGTGCTCCGGTTTCCCCCACAGTCCAAAGGAATGCGGTACAGGGGAATTGGGTAGGCTTAATTGTCCGTATGTGTATGTGTGAATGTGTGTGTGGATGTTTCCCAGAGATGGGTTGCGGCTGGAAGGGCATTCGCTGCATAAAAATGTGCTGGATAAGTTGGTGGTTCATTCTGCTGTGTCGACTCTGGATTAATAAAGGGACCAAGCCGACAAGAAAATGAATGAATGAATGTGAAACGCAAGTTAAATGCAAATAAATGTTTTAGTTTTTACTGTATTTTTAAGACAGTAAATGCAGCCTTGCGTCTTTCAATATCATTTAAATAATCTTACCATTCTAAAATGTTTAAATGGTAGTGCATCTTAAGAGAAAGATTGATATAAACGAAGATGAACCAGTATTTTTGGAAACGATAGGCAAGCCCTTAAATTAATGACAGATCTAGAGAACTATTAAGTACTGGTAAAAAAGAGGCCATATTTTTTACCTTTCCCCTTTCTCAACTCTCTGCTCTGCTCAAATTCTGTAGTGGCGTTCATTTAAATAAAAAATCGTACCTTTTTTATTTCAGTTTTAACATGGCTTAAAATAAGACGGAGGACTTATGCAGTTGATTTCTTCAGCACACTTTAGGGCTTCAGGTGCTGAAATTCAATATGAATTATTAGACATTCAAAACTTTTGTAATGAGATACATAAATTAAATAAGTAGATACTGCTCACCATAAAAGCTATTTTGTATTATTATTTACTTTTAAGACATTTAAATTGTCTTTGGAAGAACAATTATCATTTACAAAAAGAGCTGTTAGCATCTGCTGAGTCTTTGGACTATCTCCTTTAAGCGTTGTACTGTCAAAGGCAGGTTCTTTATAAGGGGATCTAAGGGTTGAAGCTCTTTTTGGAAAAAAGTACTAAATTTATTTTATTTAATATAAACTGACATTTAAGCATAATCAACTCTATTCAATCAAATTTTAATTAAGGTGTTTAAAGAGAAAACTGGATACATACAAACTGATACATCACTATTACAGTTGCATCAATTGCAATTAAAGGTGCTTGAATTTTATTTACTTATTTATTTTATTTTTTGGCGTGGTTTTGACTGGCATCACTCACTGAATGGTCAAATATTCTGAACAGCATTATAGGTGATGTATTTTTTTCCAAATAACTTAAAATCAAGTTTGATTAAAATTAACATTAGTTTTTTGTGCTTGCAGAACCAGTTGTTAACGTTATGTATAGTGAAGATTCTTTACACATTCTAAATTATAAAGTTGTGAACACAGTGGATTGTCACATGTGATCACATGAAATTCATGTGACTTTTCTGTAAGGGTGTTTATAGAACTCTGCATGTCAGTCTGTCAAGTGCTTTGCTAAATCAAATATATTAGTGCATTTACTTTGAACTGCTTTGTATATTGTAAAAAAGTGCCCCACACCTGAGCCCCAGAACGGTTGGATAGCTTTAACTATTTCATGTTACTATAAATTTGGTATTATGCACCATTTCTTTTTAAAGCATACAAATAAGAGGATTCTCTTATTCAGATATTTAAATTTGCACCTTTAAAAAGGAAGGCAGTTTTATAAGTCATTGAACGAAAATTGAGGCTTCATCAAAGTTCACATGATTTTCTGAAAGCAAAGCAATGCTCACTTAAGCTTTGGAAACCCATACCCATACATATTATACATACCTAGCATTTTTTCTACTTTATTCTACTTGATCTAACTGTAGTTTAGGACATACCTTTTAATAAGTTAATATATGTTTGTCTTTCTTTTCTTTTAATGATGTATGGCTGCAGGTTGGGATCTCACCTGAGTCCTTCACATACTGAATGCTATATCACCTCTGATATGTTCTACGTTGAGGTGCATATGGATAAAAGTGGAAAGCTCATGGATGTAAAAGTGGCCCACCATGGTGAAAATCCTGTGGTGAGAGGGAGATGTGGCTATTGTAAATATATCTATTTGATGTATTTTTTCTGTCCACTTACATTTGATTTTATTTCTTATTGTCATGTAGAGTTGTCCTGAGCTGATACAGCATTTACGGTAAGAAACCCATTTTAAAGAAAAGTAAAACTATGCAAAAGGGTGTATGCATTTCTGTTAATGGATAAATTGCTGTTTGGGACGACAAAACACTTTTAAGTGAATGTAATTGCTGTTGCCCTATCAAACACACTTCATACAACAAAATACTAACCTTAAAATTTCTAGGTTTTGATATCAAAACAATTTACTTATGATGGTCGACAGAATGTTGTGCATCATTTAAAAGATAAATAAAATATTTGCTGTATTGCATTACCGTTCACCTACTGACTTCTTCACAGTAAATATATATCTATATATATATATATATATATATATATATATATATATTAGTGCTGTCAATCGATTTTAAAAAATTAACTAATTAACTAACTAAATGCGATTAATCGCATTTAAAAGACTGAAACTTGTAATTTTGGCTATTCAAATGTAAAATTTATGTAAACGCAAGACAAAAACTATTTAGATTCAAAATATAATTGTTTATTAGAATTTTTGTTTAACTTGTTTTCCCAGAGATGGGTTGCGGCTGGAAGGGCATCCGCTGCGTAAAAACTTGCTGGATAAGTTGGCGGTCCATTCCGCTGTGGTGACCCCGGATTAATAAAGGGACTAAGCCTACAAGAAAATGAATGAATATTTAACTTGTAACAAAGATTTCTTCATGTAAACAACATACCCACAATAAACCATCAAGATCCTGGCTTGACAGCCATATTTATTACAGAAATTAAAACGCAGGCATGTTAATGCCATTTGAATTTCAAAACAATCAATGCCAACAAAAAAACATTGATTTCCATGTTGGATTGTAAGTGGACTGCAAAAAAATGCCAAAATGCAGGCATTACATGTATGGAAATGTAAAATTATAATAATAAACTATTGAATACAAATATGACACAGACACACACACAACGAGCTGGAGCGATTCCCTTTAGATTCAACACGCATTGCGTTTATCAAATTTGCTTAAATTAAGCGTTCTAAAGTATTATTGTATTTTACAAGGATTCTGACACAACAACGTGAAGCATACGCTTTCGTTGCGTTTAATGAGGAAACATGCAATACTTGGAGGGCTCATGCTGAAAGGCAGAGTAATGGCCTGTCTTTGACAGCTTGTGACTTCACCAAAGACTTTCTGAGTACAGTTACATAAGACACCAATACTCCGATTTTAATATGACTAAGATTACACTCTTATTAAAAGTCTACAGTGTAGCCTAAGCAGCTATTTTATTACCTTAAAGGAATACTGAGTCACGAAATGCGGAAGATTTTCTTTCTGTTCGCCATGCGGTATCAACTTACAACAGAAGTCGAAAGTTAAAAATTAAACATCCGAAATTGCACGAAACTCTGGATAACCTGGTGATGAGACATTAATTGTTTTATACTGAAACTTGCCTTCAAAAAGTGCTTCCTTGGTCTTGTCCACATTTCTTGCATGTTAAACACACGTCCACCACAACAGGAAGTAAAAAAAACCTGCAACTGCGTTTTTTTAACGCGTTAATTATTTAAAATTAATCACATGCGTTAACGCACTAATTTTGACAGATTTATATATATATATATATATATATATATATAATGTATATGTGTGTGTGTGTGTGTGTGTGTATATATGTGTATATATATATATATATATATATATATATGTGTGTATATATATATATATATGTGTGTGTGTGTGTGTGTATATATATATATATATATATATATATATAT